GTGCCACATTTTCATTATTCACTCATCAGTTGAAGGGTATTTAGTTCATTTTCATTTTCTAGCTATTGTGAATAGAATGACTATGAGCATGGCTGAACAAGTATCTAATAAGTAGGATATCAAGTCTTTCGGGCCTATGCCACGGAATGGTATGCCTGGTTCTTATGGTAGGTTTATTGTTAGCTTTTTGAGAATTGTTCACACTGATTTCTATAAATATGAACAGAGATTTCTCAAAAGTTGAAGTAAAAATGGCTAAAAATATCTAAAACACACACACACACACACACATCATCATCATCATCATCATCTTTAACAATTTGAGAAATTAAATCATCACAGTTGGCGGATGTTTCTTTCCCACCAGCAGCTCCCAAATAAACACACTGAGACTTGTATTAATTACAAATGCTTGGCCAGTAGCTCAGGCTTGTTACTAGCTACCTCTTACATTTATGTTAACCCATATTTCTTAGCTGTGCTTTGCCATATGGCTGGGTACCTTTTCTCAGTACAGCATGTCCATCTTGCTTCTCTCTGTGTTTGCTGGCAACTCCCCTGACTCAATCCCTCTTCCTCCCAGCATTCTCAGTTTGAGTTTGGCTGTCCTGCCTATACTTTCTGCCTAGCTACAAGCCAGTCAATTCTTTATTAACCAAGGAGAGTAATATATATTCACAGTGTGCAGAAGAATTATTCCAATTATTAAAACAACTCTGAGATTTCATCTTACCCTAGTCAGAATGGCTAAGATAACAAAACAATTGTCAAATGCTGGAGAAGATACTGGGGGAAAGGTGAACTCACATATACCATTGTTGTTACTCATCCCCTTGTCCCACTGCCCTTTCCCAACCCTCTAATCCACATTCTCTTCCAAATGACCCTTTTCTGCTTTAGTGCCATGTGTATTATCTTCTCTTTCCCTACAAATTCCTTCCCTTAAGATCTCTTCTTCCATGACCAGCCACACTAGTGGAAGCCCATGAACTGTAGACTAGTGGCTGTGGAGCCCCCATGGGACTGGACTAGGCCCTCTGGATATGGAAAAAGGTTGTTTGCTCAAACTGTTTGGGAGGCACCTAGACAGGAGGATCGGGACCTTCCCTGGTGCATGGACAGGCTGTTGGGAGCCTGGTGCCTGCAGTGTGATGCCTTGCGCAGCCTTGGTGCAGTGAGGAGGGGCTTGGATCTGCCTAGGCTCTGCTGACTCCCCATGGGAGACCTTGATTTGGGGGATGTGGGGATGTGGGGTGGCTTGGGAGGAAGGGTTAGGGGGTGGAAGGAGGTGGGATCTGTGGGTGGTATGTAGAGTGAGTAGAAAATTTCTTAATAAAGAAAAATGAAAAAAAAAGATCTCTTCTTCTCCTCTTTGCATGGCCCCTTTTATAGTTCCATCACACAAACAAAACATATATACAAATTTAAATCTAGCGTCTTCATGAGACAAAGCATAGCATTTGCCTTTCTGGGTCCACCTTTCTTTCCGTATCGATTGAAAGTTCCATCTGTTCTGAAAATGTTGTGATTTCAGTTTTCTTTATGTTGAATAAAATTCTTTTGTGTATAATGTACCACCTTGCTTGGTTCACTCTGCTGTTGATGCTCATCTAAATTATTCCGTGTTTAGCTATGATGAAAAGTGCAACACTAAATATAACTGGGCAAGCATCTCTATGGTAGAAGTGAGGATCTTTGAGTGTTTGACCCAAGAGTGATACCTGGGTCATATATCAGTTCTAATTTTAGTTTCTTAAAACATTACTGTAACAATTTCTATGGAGACTGCCCAGGTGACATTCAAGGCCATCAGCAGAATCCGAGTGTTCTTCTGCACCACATCCTTGCCAGCATTTCTTGTGCTTTATTTTAATTTTATTTTCCTGGTGAGTAAGAATGCTGAACACTTTCAAGTATTTATTGGCCATTGTATTTATCCTTTTGAGAACTGTCCATTCAGTTCTTTAGCTCATTTGTTAATTGGAAGATTCTTTTCTGGCACTGATTTTCTCCACATTGGGAAAATGTTCCTCTTGGACAACTGCATCCCAGTCCTTACTTACTTACAGTACTTACATATGGGTCCATGAATTTTTTTTTAATTTTGCCCCTGATTTCTTTGGTGACCACATATTTGTGTAGTTTCTGTGGTTTCTAAAGCTACTGCTTTCTATTTTTTGTTTAGTGTGATAAGATATGGTAAATTGTATTTGTGTGTGTGTGTGTGTGTGTGTGTGTGTGTGTGTGTGTGTGTGTTTGATAAGACTTGCTTTATGGCCTATAATGTGAATAATTTTAGAAAAATTACTAGAGCTGCTGAGAAGAATGTACATTTAGTATCTGTTCAATGAGATAGCTGTTAAATCTAGTGATCTGAAGTTTCTATGTTGATGACCTATCTAAAGATAGAAGTGGGTCGGTGAAGTCACACAGTCACATAATTACTGTGTCAGGACCTGTGTGACCCTATCTACCTATCAGTATTTCACTTATGAAATGAGGAGCCCCAAAATTCAGTACATGTATATTTGCAGTTATTACATTTCTTGATTCTGTTGCCTTTATTAATTTTAATGACCTTCTTAGCTCTTCTTACTATTGGTTTGAAATCTGCTTTACCAGATGTTAGAATAACTATTCAAGCTTATTGACTTCTGTGTAGCTAGAGTTTTCCTGCCTGGCCCACAGTCAGGACAAATCTCTCTCATCCACCAGTCCCACAGCCGCTCAGACCCGACCAAGTAAACACAGAGACATATTTGTTACAAACTGTATGGCCATGGCAGGCTTCTTGCTAACTGTTCTTATATCTTAAATTAATCCATTTCTATAAATCTATACCTTGCCACGTGGCTCATGGCTTACTGGCATCTTCACATGCTGTTTGTCATCGTGGCGGCTGGCAGTGTCTCTGACTCAGCCTTCTACTTCCCAGCTTTATTCTCCTCCTTGTCCCGCCTATGCTTCCTGCCTGGCCACTGGCCAATCAGTGATTTATTTATTGACCAATCAGCAACACACTTGACATACAGACCATTCCACAGCACTTCTATTTACTTGTTTGATAGACTAACTTCCATGCTTTGACTCTTTTGTACTGACTAGTTTTATGTCAACTTGACACAGGCTAGAGTCATCAGAGAGGAGGGAGCCTCAATCGAGAAAATGCCTCTATAAGATCTAGCTGTAGGCAAATTTGGAAGGCATTTTCTTAATTAGTGATTTATGAGGGAGGGACCAGTCCACTGTAGGTGATTTCACCTGTATAATGTTGGTCCTTGGTTCTATTTAAAAAAAAAAAAAGCAGACTGAGCAAATCATGAGGATCAAGCTAATATGCAGCACCTCCTCCATGGCCTCTGCATCAGCTTCTGCCTCCAGGTTCCTGCCCCGTTTGAGTTCCTGTTTTGATTTCCTTTGATGATGAACAGCAATATCAGAGTGTAGACCAAATAAACCCTTTCTTCCTAACTTGTTTTGGTCATAATGTTTCATCACAGCAATCATAAACCTAACGAAGTCAGTCATCTTGCCAGTGGTATATGGTTCTCAGAGACAACAAATAGTAAGATGTTATTTTTAGATCAGTTATCTCATTTGCATCTTCTAAATGGTGAATGGGGCCTCTTTGCATTTAAGGGTACTATGGGGAGGAGTTTGTGAATTCTTGCAGTTTCCTCGATGGCTTTTCTGGTTGACTGGATTGTTGTATCTTCTTTACTTTCTTCCTTGTTCCTATTATGAAACTACTGTGCTTGACATAGATTCCTTCTTACCTCCTTTGTTCACCTATTCATCATGAAATTAATTCTTCCCATCCTCTCATGATGAAGACTGTCCTTCTTCCTTCTCTGTATATAATACTCCTTTTAAGTACTTTCTGCAGTGCTTGCTTGGGGGTCCTGAATTGCTTTCGTTTGTGCTTGACTGGCTATATGCGTATTTCTCTGTAAATTTTAAAAGGCAGCTTTGCTGGATATAACAATCTTTGTTTACAATTATTTACTCTCAGGGCTAAGAATGTATCATTTGATGCTTCCTAAACTTGTAAAGTTGCTGATGAGAGACTTGATGTTATACTGGTGTGTTTTCTCTATAGTCGAGGTGACATTCCCTTACAGCTTACAGTATTGTCCCTTGCATTCTGTTTTTGATGTCTTGCTGTGATGTGAGGTAGAAAGATTCTTCTCTGGTTATACCCACTTAAGTTTATAAATGCCTCGTGTGTAGATGTCCATTTCTCTCTTGGGTTTTGGAAATTTTCTGCAATCATTTCAGTGTCTAATTTAGTTTTTTGTGTCAACTCCTTCCCCTTGGTTCTTAGGTTTGGTGTCTTGAACATATCCCAAAGTCTCTGCTGGCCACTTAACCCTTCCCTGTCCACCATTCTCATGGCTGCCATGTTAAGTCAGCGCACGTAAAGGGCCACTCCCGAGTACTTTTCTGCACAGAGGATTTTGTAGCTCTTGCCTCAGCTTACGTTTTTCTCTGAGTAACTGCCTTTGTTTTCCCACTAATTGTTTGTATGTTTCTGATATTCTTTGGCCCTTTAATTCATAAGAATCATGACTAGCCGGGCGGTGGTGGCGCACGCCTTTAATTCCAGCACTCGGGAGGCAGAGCCAGGCGGATCTCTGTGAGTTCGAGGCCAGCCTGGGCTACCAAGTGAGTTCCAGGAAAGGCGCAAAGCTACACAGAGAAACCCTGTCTCGAAAAAACCAAAAAAAAAAAAAAAAAAAAAAAAAGAATCATGACTAGTTGGGACTCTTCTCCACAGGTCACAAAGAGGCAGTTTCTAATCTCCCTCTTAACCAGAAATACCATGCTCTTTCTATAGACATCAAGGCTAAAAGTTGAATAAATTGTCCATAGTTGTATTCTAAAATGATTTTGCTTTACTTGGTTTCATTATGGAGTTTGCTCAGTTATCATAAATGGCTTGCATTTGGAATGTGGCTGTTCTTCATTTCAAATTGGATATGGTATTCCCTTTCCAACAGATGAACCCACAGATATGATTCCACGAAGCTGTCAACTTGCAACAGATGTTCCTCATGTCACACAGCTGCTAAACATGACAAAAGTCTGCCAAACTGAAATAAAATTTAGAGGTCATCATCTAAGATCAGCAGAATCAGGTATGCCCTGAGGTTCCTATAAGCATATGTGTTCTACCTAATAAGGTTTCTTCTTCTAAAGACGTCCCTAAGCTCACTCTTCCACAGTACTGCCAATATACAAGGCTAGGGCCCGCGAGCTCAGTTCACTGCCAACCCAGGCAGACAACTGAAGTGAAGAACTTGGCATGTGGACATTTAACCCATATAAAACTTTTTCTACTTCAGCACTGGGATTTACTGGGGGAAAGGAGAAGGTAGGATGAGACATGAAACAATGCTTTCCTGTGGAGTGGTTATCCCTTTATAGAAAATGCTACTTTATTCAAGTACTACCATAAAAGACAAGTAATGCTTTTCTCTGTGAAGGAGCTGTAGGGAGTGATGGGACTGCAGCCAACTGGAAGTTCACTGTCAGTTTAAAAAAGAACTTCAGTTCAGTTATGGACAGTGTCACCCTGCCTGAATATGTATCATTCATTTTTAAATAGTCTCTAAAGATTTTTTTAAACTTGTAAGCTAAACAAAATATTTTAAGGTTTCCAGTATTCTACGTCTATACAGACCTCCTACCAGTTGACCACATCAATGAAACACCTTAATATCAAACCCAATATAAGCTCAACTCCCTAGATGTTTGAACCCCTGAAACATTTTTTTTTATTTTTTTTTTATTTTTTTTTTTTTTTTTTTTGGTTTTTCGAGACAGGGTTTCTCTGTGTAGCTTTGCGCCTTTCCTGGGACTCACTTGGTAGCCCAGGCTGGCCTCGAACTCACAGAGATCCGCCTGGCTCTGCCTCCCGAGTGCTGGGATTAAAGGCGTGCGCCACCACCGCCCGGCCCCCTGAAACATTTTAATGTTTAAGCATTTAACAGCACAAAACATTTTTTCCTAATGTCAGGACTCTCCCTATAGTGACTCTTGGTTAATTTGGCTAGTCTGGTTTGTTTTGTTTTGTTTTGTTTACCTCCTCCAGTGATTGTTAGGTAGAGCCAACATTGAGACCACTGTATCACTCAGTCTGAAAGGTCATATGGTTCAAGTAACACTCAAATACAGGGAGGTAATTCAAAGGAAGCTAAAGAATAGTCATAGTGACAAATCATCTGTTGAAGTAGATCCTGAAAGTACTAAAGTATTCTATGCATATTTATGTATTTATAATGTGTATTTATAATTAATTAACAAGAGATGTATGGAAGTATGTTCAGGCAGAAGACGGAGTGAAGGCAAGGAGATAGCAAATTCTTGGACTATTTTTCATGAGTTAATATAAGGAATGGCTTGAGTGATGAAATGCTGTGTTAGAACTACACCATGGGAGCATTTCTTGTCCCTCAATAAAGAGATGCTGAATTTAACAGCAGGATTCCAGACTGACAGGAGCTGGGTCAGTAGAAAGGAGTGGCACTGAGAGAAGCTGAGGGGGAAGTGGCAGGATTTGTGGCTTCTCAGATAACAGGTGTGGCCAAGAAAGTGGTCAGAGCTTTAAAGGACATCAAATAGTAACAGGAAAGGTTTTGTGATGAAAGTTGAAAGCATGAACTCTATCACGTGGATTTTCTCTGTCACTCTTAATCAGCATTATATACCAGAAGTCACATCTCCCTAAAGAACTGAATCTCTTTTGTCCTTTTTTCAATACAAAAGAAGTCTATATATAAGTAGGCACTATACTATTAACACTTTATTGCATCATTCCCAAACTCATAGAAAAACAGAGAGGGAGAATGTCTGATGCAAATCTCACCTGCTTCATGATTACCCACTTTGAGTAGCACTTTTTGCTAACTATGAGACTAATAGTGAAAATGTATATATACCATATCTAGACACAAAGAGAAATAGATTTCGTACAAGCCATGTTTGTTAAGTAACCATGGAAAAACATAAAAGCATAAAAGTAAGCTTACTACCTTTCAGGTGACAGTTTAATCTTAATATTTGCCACAGAATGCAGGAAGAGTATTTTCAATAACAAACACTGTATGTGCACTTAATGAAGTGTGATAATTTTCAATAACAGGAATGATTAAGGTGTGTAACAAATGATGATGGAATGATTACAAATCATCTTTTTTTACCTCATGACCTTCTAGCTGAATATTTTATGAACTGTCTTTAAAATAAATACAAGTGAATATACAATATCATTGTCATCTTATTTAAATCTCTCAGAGATGCTTAAACTGAATAAGATTTAATAAATACTAATTACATCAATGTTACAACTAAACAGAAACATTTTCATAGGCTGCATTCAAACCCAACTTGCAGAAGAGGATATTACTATTTCTTCTGCAAATCGTATAAATGGACTTTTGATTCATAATAATAGTCAATTCAACTTGCATCATGTATACAGAAAATTACTAATTGCCAAATTCCATGAACATATTTCTTTTTCTTTGTGACTAACCAATTATATCCATTTTAATCCATGGTGATTGTGCCTCTTAGGCCAGTCTCATTGCACATGCACAGGATAGCCAGGATGACATGAACACACCTGGTACTGTGGGGTTCTCTTTCTACAAATGTATTTCAGGAGCTGATTTTCATATATGTGAACTTTAAAGCTTACTAAAAGAGAATATATTAATAATTTTTGCTCTCCGTGCAAGCGTTGGATTTGAATGGTATTTCTAAGGATTATGCCCAAGGGCAGATTATTTTAAATGTGGATAAGCCAGCAGGTGTGTCTTTATTTGAACTATTTGTATTTTTCTCCTAGAAAGTGAACTCCCACAATGAAATTTGAATTACATGAGAAAATGACTGTGTGCTCATATAATTGGTTGTGTAGTGCTCATGTAAATTTTGATGTTTTATCATAAATGTACATATTGAGAGATCTCAATGAGGCCTCTAGAGAAGTAGCCATTTCCTGTGGATTTTCACACCACCAAAAAAAAGAAACCTTGAAATTTTTAACTGTTTTAGACTGTTTTATTGAATGCCATATAGCTTAATCAAGAGTATTGAATGGAATTAATAAAATCACTGTTTCTAAGAAGCCAGTGTTTCCAAAAAGCTCCACATTCCCACTGCTTTCTTTGTCAATCCCCAATGCACATTAGCTAATAACTTTAGGACTGTGGAATCTGATAATCTCACTTTCAGTAATGGAACACCAGTTTAATTGAACCAGAGAATATGGTCTGGCTATTGAAATGAAGCATTCAGCATTGACAAGATACAGTGGCCCACTGAACACAAATCAAAAGTAGTAATTTACTTAAAAATTGGAACATGGTTTTCCCTGTTGCCCACTTTCTCACAACAGCCATCTAACAGTGTTTTCAATTTCTTTATGAGTAAGAGAAAACTGACATTCCTTCCTCCTACCACAACTGTGGACTTGTGAATTAATCCATCTAGAAGACAAAAGAAGGAAGGAGGGAGCAAGCTGGCTAGGGAGGGAAGGAGGGAGGGAAAGGAAGAAGAGGATGAATCAGCAACCTGTCTGTGGCACTGGTGAGATATGTATTAGATTTCTTGTTTAGAGTCCATATTATGAAAGCAAGATTCAAACCAAGGATCACATTCTACTGTAAAACAGAAAAACCTAAAAATAAAATAAATTAGTGTATGCCCTCATAGAAGCCAAAGCACCTCCCATAATTAATGGGTCAGTTGAATAAATATTGTGAAAATGACTATATTGCCAAAACCAATCTGAAGATTCAATGCAAAGGTCCAGTGACAGTCTTCAGATGAATAGAAAAAAGAAATGAATCCTAAATTTTATTATCCAAGCATAACAGACCCCAGATAGCCAAAGCGGTCTCGAGGAGAAAGACCAGTGGTGGAGATATCAGTATGCCTGATTTCAGGTTATACTATGGAGCCATAATAACAAAAACAGCATGGTACTAGCACAAAAGTAGACATACATATCAGCAGATAGAATGAAGGACCAGAGACAGACCACGCAGCTACAGCCACCTGATTTTTTAGAAAGATGTCAAAAACATACAGTGGGGAAAAGACAGCCTTTTCAACAAATGGTGTGGAAAAAGCTGGATATTCAGACCTAGAAGAATGACTCTAGATCCCTGTGTCTCACCTACATGAACAAAGCCAGGCAACCGAGCACACCTGTTACCCAGGCCTGAGGGATATGGAGACAGAAAGATCATGATCATGGATGCAGCTACCTTCCTGCCCAGGCTCAGAGAGTAACTCTGCCTTACAGGAAAAGCACAGAATGGTAGAGGAAGACAGCTAGTGCCCTATTCTGGCCTCCAATGTGTAAACAGGCATGAACCTGCACATAGTCCTACACAGATACACATAAATACTTTTTAGAATGATATTGATCAGTGCTTCTGAAGTCTTATATAGCAAGCATATCATAAACCAGCTATAGAGATAATTTTAGTTTTTCTATGTAATTTATACACATGTTGAAATGTTAATAATATAAAATGTCGCATTAACTACTAAATTGAACTTAATCCATTAGATACTTGAGTAATTATTCTTGTACCAGTCTTTGTGTTCTGCCCCACCCCCTTTAATTCAAACTTTACAGACCCTTGCTCCTGCCTTGGCCTCCTAGCATAGAGATCAGAGGCATGCATTCCTGGCACATTTCTCCCTTAGATACTCATTAGAGCACTGCTTGTAATAACAAAACCTAGAGGCAAACCACTTGTGTACAGTTGGAAACTGGTTCGGCAAGCTTATGGTAAACTATTGTGCAGCTGTGCAAAGAGCCGTGTGCTCTGCCTGTGATAGTCTGGAATGTGATCTCAAAGTTATGTCAGTTGGTGAAAAATGGAAGCCTACAGCCATATTGCAATTTTGTCCCATTGCTGGAATAAAAAACATGGTGGCCTAGGTATGACATTTACAGAAGCTTTAAATAAACTTAATGATTACTTTTGGAAGCAGGAACTAATGCAGACAGGGGCAGGGGGAAAAGACTGCTTTCTCAAGACATTTTTTATTAGAGAATTTTAATTTTCTAACTATATTAATGATTTGTATTAATGATACATTATGTTAGACCAAT